GTTAGCCAGAGGTAATTTTTTTCATGGAGAGAAAAGGTTTTTGTTAACCCTTTACTCAAGTTAATTTATTGACAAAATAAATGGAAAACTTGCATACTGCTAGCTGTAGGTTCTACAGTGGACTGTATCAGACACTATACATTTACATTAATTATCATAACATCTGTCTATGTGAACTTGTTTTTAAATCTTAGCAGATAGGTCCAGTAATTATACTTTGCTGATAGTTTCAGCAAATTTAGTAAATTAAAAATTCTTTGCTTGTTCCAGTTTCCTATGATAAAGACTAGGGAACAGAAATTATTGGCAAAATGGGTTATGTAAAAATAAGGCAGTCCTTGAGTAGAGGTCTCTTTCTAGATCACCATTGTGCCATAAACATATTAGAGAAGACACAGACACTCCAGAGCAGTTTTTACTAACCTGTCCTTAAAATGCACTTCCATTTGATGTTCCTCAAAATGAATTGGCTTTTATTCTGACTTTCACAGTTTAACAGTCCATTGTAAGATTACTTTTGTTTATCACAAAGTCATTTAGTTAAGGTGACTTTTCAGGAATGCTTTGTGGAAAACTGCAAGTTGAGTAACTATTTTCCGTAACCAATAATGGACTCAAATATGCAATTTTTCTGATGTCCACTGTTGTTTTTTTTTTTTAATATGTTTTTATTGATTTCAGAGGGAGGAAGGGAAGGGGATAGAGAGAGAGAAACATCAGTGATGAGAAAGAGTCATTGTTCGGCTCATTGTTCCTGCACACCCCCTACAGGGGATCAAGCCCACAACCCGGGCATGTGCCGTGACCAAGAATCAAATTGCGATCTCCTGGATCATAGGTTGATACTCAACCACTGAGCCATGCCGGCCGGGCCTGATGTCCACTTTTAAACACATATGTCCAATGCTTAGAATACAGTTATGTTTTCTTAGAAGTCTAATAGTTCAGATGTATTAGTGGGTTGTTTATTTTTAAAACAATTTAGTCATGAGTATGTGTATAGTGTTATGCTGCCCAGCAGGGAATACAGTAGTGAAAAAGAGAAACATAGTTCCTAGTCTAATAGGTTTAAATTCAGTATTGTATGTTGAAATTAAAGAGGCTACTTAAAACAATTACTTTTCTATTTGAATAATTGAAAATTTTAACTATATAGATTTAGAGAGAGAGAGTGTGTGTGTGTGTGTGTGTGTGTGTGTGTGTGTGGTTTGAATTTCAAAATATGCCTTGTCTAGGTGTTAGGAGCTTTATATTTTATCTAGTGTTGCAATAGTTTTTTGTTTGTTGTTGTTTTCTATATATACATAATAACTTTGATTTGACAACTGAGTCAATTAACTCCTGATTAATAGAAGTACTTTACCATGTCCTTATCAAATTTTTAGATTTTTTTCTTTTCTTATAGTTGTGTGGTAAATTCTGATTTGATGTTAATTTGAGCAGAACATGCTGAAAATACTTAGTCTCAAAAACAATTAAAGTTGTATCTATAGCATTTATAAATGCTTTTAACATTTTCATTTGATAATGCTGACCAGCCTTACATGTAGGCATTTTTAAGTTCACACTCTACTGAAAAAAGAATTCAGACTGGAAATAAGTGATAAACACAAGATTATTCTGCAAATAGTATATGATAGCACAGACTTTTAAGACTGATGGGATTTTAGTGGCTGTTTTTCCTATTATGTTGCCAAATGTGTGATGTTTGAGTTGACTGTCTCTCTGATACCCCTCACAACGGATTGGCCTGTGAAAAAAACAATAAAAGTTTTCACTAAAGAAATATATTAACTAACTTATTTTGAAATAGTATAGTGTTCAAGTATATTTGTATCTTATATCCCAAACCTTGTTCATCCTAATCATTACACAAAATTATTTTCCTTTGATGAATAAAGTTAATGCCATTGTGTTTTCATATTTGCCCAATACAACTTCTGTGTACATATGAAAATCACTCAGATATTGCTTATACTTTAAAAAATAAAATTAAACTAAGTAAACATTAAATGAAAAATTTAAGTGACCAGATATGTTGTTGAGAATTATCCACAAGAACAAAGGAATATAGAGTAGCCTTGTCCAATTAATTTAAACTACAGATAAATAGCAGTCATAGATAGTGAAGGGCCTTTATTTTTGACCTGGAACAGTTATTTAGTGTATACTGTAATTGGTTTACTTGGCTGCTGTAGCACAGCCTCTTTCAATCTGATTTTTAGCCAGGTCTGACACCTAGTGCTCAGGTATTGCTTCTGTAGTTTTTAGGCTTGGATTTTTGTTTGCCTGACATACAATACCTACTTTCCTCTAGCTTATTATAGTACTCATTGTAATAAAACTTGCTACAACTGGGTGGCAGTGTTGATTTCAGAGAAACTTCAGAAAAATGCTATGCTGTTTGTTTATGTGCAGAGTCATTTGAACAATACAGATTTGTAAATCTATGTATAACGAAATGGTAAATATGTTTGGTGAAATAATAGTGAAAGATTGAATCTTTAAATCATCTAACTCATCTTTATAGCCAATCTAATTTAACTTTATTTTATGTTTTTTCAGCATTTAAACCTAACATGAACTAAAATGCCACATTTATTAGCTTATGGCATACAGTACAATTTTAAAAGTTAGTCATTAACAGTTATATATCAAATGTAATAGAGACTTCTTTATGGTAGTTTTGTTAGTAAAAGATAATGTCTTTTACAACTTGGTAAATATATAAGTAGATGACTGCTGTATATGAAAAATTGTAACATATCTTACCTCTTCCCATTTTAAGACAATATGCATCAATTTTTTTAATTTGATTTAAAAAGTTGACACTTGATAGCTTTTTCTGTATTTTACTTTTATCAGTTATATTTTTCAGCAGTATTTAAAAAAATGCCTCTCTAATAAGTCACCTTTTTTCATTTTTCTCTGGTTCTCAAATAGAATTTCTGTTTCTTTTACACTTATCCCCCAAGTGTTTATGGTCTTATCAATACATGATAGCAATCAGTGTTGACTCACTGGTATGAAATTGCAATAAGGACCGTATAAAAGATTTTACATATTTTGTTATATTAGCAATCTGAATTTCTTTTTAATCATATGCGAAAGACAAAGTATTAAACTTTTTCTTAAAACTAATACAATATTAGAAACTAGTGGTTAATTTAAATAAATTATTTTTTAAGTTTAGCTGTAAAAACCTCCAGGTAGAGAGAAAAATATTTTATTCTTTCTTGTCCTAATTTGTTTAATTATAATTTTTTATACAATGTAAAAAAGAATGTTGACAATATTATGTAAGATTGGTTTTTATAGATTAGAATCTGTTAACTACCTCTTTAATCAAATTTGCCCTCAACCTACCTATCTCAGTAAAGCTGTAGAGTTCAAAAGTCTGTTGTGTTTCTATGCACTAATAACAAACTATCAGTAAGAGAAATTAAGAAAACAATCCCATTTACACTTCCATCAAAAAGAATAATATACCTAAGAATAAATTTAACCAAGGAGGTGAAAGACCAGTACACTGAAAACTGTAAGACATTAATGAAAGAAATTGAAGAAGACACAAATAAATGGAAAGCTATTTCATTTTTATGGATTGGAAGAATTAATATTCCAAAGCAATCTACAGATTCAGTGCAGTCTGTACCAAAATTCCAATGGCATTTTTCACAGAGATAGAACAAATAATCCTAAAATTTCTATGGAACCACAAAAGACCCCAAATAGCCAAAGCAGTCTTGAGAAAGGAAAACAAAGTGGGAAGCATCAAGCTCCCTGACTTCAAACTATTACAAAACTGTAGTAATCAAAACAGTATTTCATGGGCACATAAATCAGTGGAGCAGAATTGGAGCCCAGAAATAAACCTACACATATATGGTCAATTAATTTACAACAAAGGAGCCAAGTATATAATGGGAAAGGACAATCTCCTCAATAAATGGTGTTGGGAAAACTGGATCACAGTCTTACCATGCACAAAAATTAACTCAAAATGGATTAAAGACTTTAGTGTAAGACCTGAAGCCACCAAACTCCTAGAAAGAAAACAGCAGTAAGCTCCTTAATGTAAGTCTTGGCGATGATTTTTTGAATCTGACTCTAAAAGCAAAGGCAACAAAAACAAAAATAAACAAGTGGGACTACATCAAATTAAAATGCTTCTGAACAGCAAAGGAAACCATCAACAAAATGAAAAGACAACCTTTAAATGGGAGAAAATATTTGCAAATCATATCTGGTAAAGGTTTAATATCCAAAATATATAAAGAACTCATACAACTCAATAGCTTAAATAAAATGCAATTAAAAAGGGCAGAAGGTCTGAATAGACATTTTTCCAGAGAAGACTTATGGATGGCCAATAGGTACATAACACTAATCATCAGGAAAATGCAAATCAAAACAGATATCACCCCACACCTGTTAAAAAGGCTAATATCAGAAAGACAAGAAATAACAAGTCTTGGTAAGGATGTGGAGAAAGGGAACCATTGTTCACTGTTGGTGGGAATGTAAATTGGTATAGCCACCAAGAAAAACAGTATGAAGGTTCCTCAGAAAATTAAAAATAGAACTGCAGTGTGATCCAGCAGTTCCACGTCTGACTATCTGAAGAAAACGAAAACACAGCCAATCCAGTTATATGTATCCCTGAGCCTCCCTGTTCCTTCATATAAAAAATTGGGAACATGGCATCAACTTATTTTTCTATCAAATCAAAGAGAATATATGAATGAAAGTACCTGGCGGTAAATAAGCACATTTTAAAAAATGAATATAATTATGATGACTATTATAGCACTGGAGGGAGAAAGGAGACTGTTAACAACAGAAGGGACAAGGGAAATCAGAGTAACCAGTTTTGTGGATGGATTGATGTAGGCTTCCAAGGATTCATCTAGAACCATGATTTATATATCATCGATCTAACTTTAAAATAAGAGATATATGCTGGATTACTGATAATGTCTTTCTCTCTTTCTCTTTAGGACACTTAAAGAGAGCTACAATGGAAAAGTCCTGGATGCTGTGGAACTTTGTTGAAAGATGGCTAATAGCCTTGGCCTCGTGGTCTTGGGCTGTCTGCCGTATTTCTCTTTTACCTTTAATAGTGACTTTTCATCTGTATGGAGGCATTATCTTACTTTTGTTAATATTCATATCAGTAGCGGGTATTCTGTATAAATTCCAGGATGTATTGCTCTATTTTCCAGAACAACCATCTTCCTCACGCCTTTATGTTCCCATGCCCACTGGTATTCCGCATGAAAACATTTTCATCAGAACCAAAGATGGAGTGCGTCTAAATCTTATTTTGATAAGATATACTGGAGACAGTTCACCCTATTCTCCAACCATAATTTACTTTCATGGGAATGCAGGCAACATAGGTCACAGGTTACCAAATGCATTGCTTATGTTGGTTAACCTCAAAGTTAATCTTTTGCTTGTTGATTATCGAGGATATGGAAAAAGTGAAGGAGAAGCAAGCGAAGAAGGACTCTACTTAGATTCTGAAGCTGTGCTAGACTATGTGATGACTAGACCTGACCTTGACAAAACAAAAATTTTTCTTTTTGGTCGTTCTTTGGGAGGAGCAGTGGCTATTCATTTGGCTTCTGAAAATTCACATAGGATTTCAGCCATTATGGTGGAGAACACATTTTTAAGCATACCGCATATGGCCAGCACTTTATTTTCATTCTTTCCGATGCGTTACCTTCCTTTATGGTGCTACAAAAACAAATTTTTGTCCTACAGAAAAATCTCTCAGTGCAGAATGCCTTCTCTTTTCATCTCTGGACTCTCTGACCAATTAATTCCACCAGTAATGATGAAGCAACTTTATGAACTCTCCCCATCTCGGACTAAGAGATTAGCCATTTTTCCTGATGGAACTCATAATGATACATGGCAGTGCCAGGGCTACTTCACTAGCCTTGAACAGTTCATCAAAGAAGTAATAAAGAGTCATTCTCCTGAAGAAATGGCAAAAACTTCATCTAATGTGACAATTATATAATGTTTTTCTTTTTGATTAATGCACTGTACTTTAATTTGTACAGAATGATAAAGAATGTTCCTTTCTAGAAGTGTGTTATATCTGTATTTGTCTGAAGAGTGACATTAAACTTTGAAAGGACTTCAGTGCTCCTTTAAGATGATCCAAATAGTTTTTTACATTTGAAAAACTATAATTGTTGGGATTATTTCATACATTTTCATCAAACCTTTCAATGTGGTTATGTGTCCATATCTTTAGTTTAATATGCCAGTAGAATATATTCAAAAGTTTCTTGTTGCTAAAGTGGTATATTCTACGTGATACTTAAGATTAATGGCTGGGTGTGTGTGGAAGCGAGATGTAAATGAGAAACCTTTGGATATTATTCCCTTAGTAACTATTGGGACAATCATGGTACACAAAGTTAGTTCTGTAACTGCATTTTTCACCTTAAAATAAAGTGCATGATGATATTTTATTTCTTAAATTATGCAATGCAGTGTTTTTAATGTAAATAGCACTGGTCATATACTGATGTATATTGTAACCTGGGTTATATCTATTTTTATGTAAACTATTTTGGTTTTGGCAAGAAGTGAAATTGAGGCCTGTGTGCAGGTTGCTATTGAATTTTCTTCTGGCGAATGCTGGGATTCAGCTTTTTCTTACAAATAAATGGGACCCCACTTTCCAATATAAATGTACTGTGTTTTGTTAGGTACAGTCTGGATCATGGCATGTAAAAAATAGAAATTTAGAGTTTTATTGCAGCTTAGATGTGCATATTTGAACATTTTAACATTTGTAATTTTGGTGGCAAAAGAGAATTTTAGCTTTTATCTATTTCATAAGTCTACAGGTAAATCACTAATGGCAGTCAAAATGATTATAACTTGTTTAAGAATTAAAAGTAGGAAGCCTTATTACATAAATTGTACATACGGCTTTACAGAAATTCCCACATTTGATTTTTAAGTCCCAGTATCTAGGTATATCTAACCCATTAAAGCCAAGATATCATTTATTGGACTTTCTGAAAATAAAAGTTACAAAAACAAAAGCAGAAAAACCATGTTCTTTGGTTTAATGTTTTAGTTACAAAATACAGTTGCAACAAAAGACAATTTTAGGAAATCTTATTTATTTTCCACATGTAGTAATGTGGGGATGAAGGAACTCTAAAGCTTAGAACCTATTACCACATTTAACTATTAAATGGCTATCAGTGGGAGGTATTATTTAGACATATAGAAAAGTAAGAAAAATCTTACTTTAAAAAAGCTCCTTAAAATTGCAGGATATACCTTAAAATTTATATGTAAGCTATGAGGCATAAATGTGCTAAGATGTGTCAAGCAGTACTCAAAAATTAGATGTAATCGAGCTCTGTATATTGTTATGTCAGCTTTGAAATATAATATTTTGAATATTTTGGCTATATTTATTGGCTTTGTGCAAGCAGCTAGAACAGAGAAATAATGGGTCAGTAATTCTGACCTTAATTTAAAATTCTTTCCATGGAGATAGGGCTAGAAATACATTTGCCACATAACATTCTTCTCATTCAATTTGTGTCAGTATTTAGAAAACAGTAAATTATAGCGAATATGATTAATGTTTTTCTATAAATTATTGTAAAAAAAGTCATGCTTTTAAAAACAAATTTGGTAATGCATATCATGGAAGGTGTATTTTCTATGTATAATTTCACTACAATTAAAGGCTACTTTTCATCTTGTCAATAATGGCTATATAGAATGACTGTATTATATAGTAATGTATTAAAAGGAAAAAAGTTACTACAACAAAATGTAGTATATTTAGACATGAGCTTACATGGCATACTTTAGGCTCATATCATTCTTTAAAGTTTATAAAGTACCTTCTTATGTTTTCATGTAATCATTTAGTCTACAACACTGTGGAGGAATTTGTCAAATTTAGTTGTAAATATGCTGATGAAGTATAAAACCTTTTTTCTTCATCAGTGTTTTGTTTTATGTTGCTTTTTTTTAATACTTCAGGTTTATAAACAATCTTTTTTTTTCTTTTTAGGGTAGGACTTCAAAAGTTGTAAAGTACTTGTGTCCCATCTCTACCTTCATTCTCTTGTTTGGGTTAAGGGGCCTTTTTTCTGGCAGCAAAGGGAGGAGGCTGTTTCTAGGGTTGTAGTACTTAATTTCTGTATTTGAGAATAGTTCCTTAGATAGGAAGGATAAGAAAACAAAATCTTAGCATCAGGGGTCTCTGAAGCCCATGGCATCAGTTTTTCAAAACATGTCTAATTTTTCGCCAGAGCATTTGGTGTTAATAAAATGTGAATTCTGAATGAGTCACTTCATTTTGGACTCATAGGTTTAATGGGAATAGAAGTGTGTCTGTCTTATGTATTAATTTCTGGCTCACTTATGCAAGGGCAGCTACAGGAGTTTCTGAATTAATTTTAAACTATTAAGCTACTGTAAATTTGGAAATACTAGAATTTTTTTAAATATGGCAAGATACAATTTATTTAGATAAAAATCCATTATTTTAAAAGGGACCCTAAAAAGGATATTGCAAAATATGGGGAAAATAATTTGTAGCAGATAAAATATGCTAATAGAATAGAAAGCTAGAAAGGGAAAGGTGATGTANTATTGGGAGGAAATGGCAAAAGGGACCCTAAAAAGGATATTGCAAAATATGGGGAAAATAATTTGTAGCAGATAAAATATGCTAATAGAATAGAAAGCTAGAAAGGGAAAGGTGATGTATTAAATGTAGATCTAGGAAATAAGTAACTGATAAGATTGGTGAGAAGGAAACAATAGTCGGTGCAAAACAACAGTTAAACACAAGACATTTCTAACAAAGTGACTTGAGCACCTGATATTGCAGCTACACTATATTTTTGCAAGTACTTTGTAAGATATTTTCATTAAAATTCTAGATTTTGTTACAGGGCAGCTTAAATTTATTTTTTTATGATGAGCTCTGGACACATGATAATTGCCAAAGTTCCAGCTTGTAATTATGTTGTAATATTTCTTACTGAGAATTCATACTACCTGATGCTTTCATATTCATTTCTTAAGTTTGAAACATTTGGTTTGAGGTGGGAATAAATTTGGTGGAATAAAATAACATTCAATTTTATATGTTATTTTGCAAGCTGAGTTTAAGTGTAGAAGTGTAGTTTTTATTGACTCCCTTGTTTTCTTGACGTTAAGAGTAAATAGACAAATTTTTAAAAGGATGTCACAGAAGTCACTTTTTAAAATTAAGTCACAATTAAGTTATACTGAAATCCTTCACTGACCTCTCCCCTCTGTTTTTCCTGTTACGTTTGACAACAATTATGGAGAACAACAAAAAAAAAAACCTGAAAAAAATTAGTCATATGCTTTCGGATTATCCACTTAAATTTATGTATTTTCATATCACTCAGGTAAAGTAGGAAATGACAAAGCACAGACATCTATTTTTTTAAATAAAAGGTCAGAAAAAGCACTCCTATTTATTTATATTACCATATAGGCACATCATCTTAGCTAATCAGAAATAGTATTTTTATTTGTGTGATGAAATAAATGCACTCATCCTTATAGTAGTCAACACGTTTTTGCCAAATAGTACAAATGTACCTCCATTTATATTTTGTATCTTAAAAATGTAGTTTAAAAGTAAGATGATAAGAGACACTTTTTTACAAAAAGTGCCATATGTATATATATATATGAAACAGGGATGAGTGTGTGTTGTTGAACTTAATTTATAACAATTTCTGTCAGTACAGCATATACTTAAAAATTCAAGTTGCTTTCAACCTGTTCAAGTATGTTCAGGATAAAATAAGTTAATCCAGTTTCTTAATGTAAATCATATTTTTGCCATATTTTATTTGAAGCAGTAATAAAATTTTATAGCTCAAATTTGAATGTTACGGTACATTATACGCTAACCATGGCAAGCCAACATTTACATTTGTTTTTTACAATAAATTTCTTTTAAGATATACTTTCTATTTTTCTGTACTGACATGCAATAAATTGATACATTAAAAGTTTGATTAATGTCTTCAGATAGTTTGTATTTAATTTTTAAAAGTATATTTTCTATTAACCTAAATTATATGGTAGGACATTAAAGTTTCCTTAATGATTAAATAAAATTCCTGAATTTGTACTGAAATTAATGAAATTTTTATTGTAGTGATGGTGTGGATAAAAAATACACATTTATGTTCCCTTTTTCATATTTTCCTCTCACATTTAGTCCAATATTAAATATTTTCTGCATATGAATCGCTGGTGAATGAATAGGTCCCAAAGCATTTGCTCAATTAAATTAATCAAGGAATAAATAAATGTTCATAGTTCAGATTTTATAAAGTGCCTTCTTAGATGTC